ATAAATAACCGATAGACACTGACACCGGTGCCACGCCATAGTGATAATGTTGTGTTCATGAGTTATACTGCGAAAGCTTCCCCGGATATGGCTTGGGCCCTCCCCGCCTATTAATTATACGCAGGACAGCCGCATAGGCGACAGGCTTCCCCAATTGCTTTGCCACTTTCTCTCTTTTATGGCTACTTGGTACGGTTTGCATTGATTAGCTTCAACAGACCCACACTAAGTATCAGTCACCTTCTACATCGAATTACACCATGAAACTATTACTCTTTATTGTGTGTCTCCAATCGGCACAGGCGTTGCCGTGGCTTTCCTCCGCTGCGTTTGCGCTTCAGAGGCCGTTTCTGCTCCTCAGCGAGCCGGATGCCAACGCGAAACGTCTCGTTTTAACGAACCACGATCTCAATGCGATGGAAATCGTCGAATCAGACAAGCTCGAAATGCGGAAGATGGGCGTAAAGTTCTTGGATATCACCGATACGCCGTTCGCCAAGGACATTGCGTTGCTGTATGCACCAAAGGAGTACACGTACCCGGCAAAATTGGCCCACACCAAGGATATCAAGAATATTGTGAGCAAGGTAGACAAGAAGCGGTTACATACGAATCTAGGAGTGTTTTCGTCCTTCCACACGCGTTACTACAAAAGCGATCACGGGCTTGCCAGCGCCCAGTGGCTCCAGAAGACCATTCAGCAGATTATTGCTAGCAGCAACACTACATTAGATGTGGAGGTTGTTCCGTTCAAGCATGAATGGAAGCAGTTTTCGATCATCGTGAAGATCCCGGGTTCGGAGGTGCTGTCTTCCGACGAAAGCATCGTGGTGGTGGGTTCGCACCAGGACTCCGTCAACTTGTTGTTCCCGAGCCTTTTCGCCGCGCCGGGGGCTGACGATGATGGTAGCGGTACCGTCACGTGCTTGGAAGCGCTCACCTTGTTACTTGGAGCGGATTTCCAGCCACGCAACAACGTGGAGTTCCACTTCTATTCTGCCGAAGAGGGCGGGTGTCTCGGGTCCCTAGCCATCTTTGCAAAGTACAAGGAGCAGCACAAGGCGGTGGTGGCGATGTTGCAACAGGACATGACCGGCTACAGCGCCGGATCATTGGAGAAGGGTCTTCCAGACCACGTGGGTTTGATCACCGACTACACCAACCATAACTTGAACGTGTTTTTGAAGACGACGATCGAAGCGGTGTGTGACATTGACTGGATGGAGACCAAGTGTGGCTACGCCTGTTCCGATCACAGCTCGGCCTCTAAGTTTGGCTATCCGAGTGCGTTCATTATCGAGTCGACGTTTGAGAACAGCAACCATTTCATCCACTCGACCCAGGATACCATCGACAAGTTGAGCTTTGAGCACATGGCCGAGCATGTCAAATTGACCGTTGGCTATGCCTACGAGTTGGGAATGTCGGATATCAAGGAGCAACACTAGGAAGGGAGGGCTAGAGTAACCGGTCGCCAGGAGGTTAGATGGAGCCTAGGGATTTTTTGAATAAACGTACTTTAAGCAGGGCGAGGAGTTTCTCTAATTGTAGTGGACTAAAAACAGTATACCTTAACTCATCCTCGTCGTTCATTAAAGCGAGGAAATAAATTGAGGGTGAGAAGGTGTCAGCCGATAATTTCCTTTTGAAACTCTCACTTAACGACCAATGCGTTAAATAAGAGTAAAAATGTCGTCCAAGTTCGGTGAAATACCATTGCCACATATTTTTAACCCGCCAGTGCTCTTGCGACAATCGTACCTGTGGAAAAGATGGTGTAACCAAAAAGATTCTGCCGGTCCCAGGAATCGAACTTGGGTTTCCTCTGCCACAAAGAGGTGTACTGACCACTATACTAGACCGGCCCTTAGCTGATCATAGGTAACATGCAGTAGAATTATCGGTAGACAACTTGTTAACAAGTAATGTAAATGTCGTTGTATAGGGTGTGGAAGAACATCTTGCGTACCAATCGTACATATATCTAAATTACAGCAGAATCAGCATTAGCTCAAATATATCTAGCATCTGTATCAACCATTTTCGAATTAGTATCCCTCTGTATTCCCATCTTCGGTTTGCAGTTCGAGGATTCTTCACAAGCAGAAACCATTACCGAGACATCCCAGGGAATATACCTATTATTTGCTAGTTATGCTTTTACCTCATCATGTCCGCCAGATCTAGAAATGTGCCCTAGTATTGTACCGGCCGAGAACTTTGCCACAGGTATACAATCTTAAGGCTGGTCCTTTTAATTTACAGAATGTGCAGATTATGGTATTTATCCAGCATATGTAGCCAGACAAGCTGTTTTGTAGCAGTAAGTATGCACGGGAGTAAAGGCAGTGGGTATGGCACTGGATGAAAGACCGGGAAATAACCGGGGAAACTATGCGATTTCAAATGGTACGATACGTACGGTAGGTCATACCATCAACACAGATATTCTTATAAAATTATCATGGACAGGTGCAGTTTAAAAGGGCCAGATCTAACACAGGACCTTTATAAGGAATCTATTATGACGTATGTACACAGTAAATAGCACCAAGTACTGCAAAGCTCTGTAGTCTTTGGTTCTTATTTAAGTATCAAAAACCAGCCATATTTAACTTGAACTGCAACCAATAAACTAGCCGTCAACAACAAAAAACCCCCAGCCAACGGCCTCTGATTTCTTCAGATGCTCCACAATCCCAGTCAGCCTCGCATCCTGCACCGAAGCTCTATACTTCCAGCTCCGGGCCCGATCGTCGCTTACTTAACCCCGTTACGTAAAGGGAGGGAGTAGCCGAGCGCGTAGGCTCACCTTACGGCTGTCAAGTAGGCGCGATTTGTTACGGTGCGTTTTTCAGGAACAGCAAAACCAATACGTTTTTGCTTTGCCGCTGATAGACAAGAATATTCAAGGACATTGATACTCGTTATTACCATTAGATACCACAGCTATTAATCTTCACCAACCCGATAATTTAACGCTGCCTTTTGCATCCCCCCTGGCGCTTGAACACAGCTGACACCGCAGCATCGTCAATACCATCACGGACACCGTTTCCTCGCAACCGATCTCCTTACCTCTGGTGCCATATCCTTGCAACTGGAGAATTCTCTTGCGTAGACTTCACAACCAATACGCTTCTTTGCGATGTTTTTTCAGAGGCGCGTGGCGCTCGTAGTTCGCCTAACGCGAATGAGATTCAATTCATATACGCCGAGTACGAGCAGCACGAGTTCCGCAAATAACTCGTTTGACTTTTCGTCCACCAACTTCTACGACCTTACGTACACCACCAAAAACAATTTGATGTATAACTTGTCGCAGTACCAGAACCTGTACCACCCGCGTTTTGTCAACGATTACCTCCACACCAAAATCGATCTCGTGCTAAACACGTTAGAGTACCAGGAGCGCCCCATCCGTATCGGCATCTTGTACGAGGAGCATATTAACAAGGAGCCCAGCAGCGCTGAGAGCGCGCCAAAATCCAAGTTTCTCGAGTCGATCGTGGCGGACCCCATGATGAGCGACCAGATGTGGTACCACTCGCTCAAAAACCGCGACTTTGCGAAAAACAACCTCATCAAGTACGGGCCACAGTTCAACTTGGTCAACCTGAATCTCTACCAGGATGATTACTATGTGCCTTTGAAGTACCTCAACCTGCAGACGAAGCGCAACTTCGTGGAGAACGAGTGCGTGGGCCTCCACGACATTGAAATCTTGGAGATCAACGACTTGGACAAGGATTCCGCCGCCGTCACTGAGTGTCACTTCTACTTCTTGGTGACCGAGACCAACGACTGCTCGTGCATCACGGATGACCCGGAGTTGCATGAGATTTTCTGGCCGTTGTACAAGGTGAACGATAAGGCCTCCGATGCGTTACCGTCGTCAAACGAGCTCACGCTCATCGACACACAGTCGTCCGAGTTGCACGTCAACTCGGCGTTATGCTTCGCCTCCAACGAGCAGTTGATTGGCTACACGGGGGGCCAAGATGACGTGGGCAATGCGGAAGCATACAACGAGATCATCCGCAACATCGAAAAGTCCAACATCTTTGCGACGCTCAAGTTCATCAACTACCAGACGTCGGCGCACGTGGCGGCGATCAAGATCATCCGCCTGATCATCTCGCTCTCACAGTACGCGGTGGACATCTCGATCAACGAGTTGCAGCGCCAAGCAAACAAGAAGTACCTCAACTCGCAGATCGACAAGAACACCAACGACTATATGGTCGAGTGCCACAAGGCGTTCTTCCACTTCAAGTCGCTGTTCCTCAAGGAAATGCGCAAGGACATTACGTTTGCCAACATCCTTTCGCGCAAGGACGGTGTTGCCGCGCGCATGGAGCGCTATGTCAACGCCACGTTCCCCAACCAGCTCTTTGCCGACTACTCCGAGATCCAGACCACCTTGGGCCACTTGGTCAACCTGAGAGTCAAGCCCCGCTTGGTCAACCCGATCCTTGCCTATAAGGACGAGGTGCTCGTGCCACAGCGCTTGCCGGTATTGCAGCAGAAGCTCCGCCGGGCACTCTTTCGTAACCTGCTCCAGATGGCACTCCCGTCGGCCGCCATTCCGTACGTTGGGTTCTACGTGTTCGACCTCGATCCACTGCCAATGGTGGCGCTCTCATGTTTCGGGCTTATTATGACCATCCGTGCCATCTACCAGCAGATCGACGAGATCGCGGATGTGTGGTCGCAGGATGTGCTTGACACTATCAAGGGCCTGTTCTGGAAGATCAAAGACCAGCTCTCTAAGAACTATGAGATCAAGTACAAGGACTATGAGGGCTTGAACACGGTTAAATTGAATATATTAAAGCGCTTGGACACGGGAATAAAGACGTTGGAGAAAGAGGACGCAAAGAGGTTGGCAGGCGGAACGGCAATTGGTAGCAACATCAACTCCGTCCGAAGCATGCAATCCCGGAGGTATGATAACGATTTGTTTTAATCGGCAACGATGGACTGCCTTATCAGGCCCGATGGCGATTGCTCATGAGGATCATGGCCAAGTATTTGCCCAATACATCTCCCACTGCCAGTATTAGTTTTGCACCCTGCATAATTGATTCATGCACTTTTTTTAGCCAATGATTGCTCTAAAACCGACTCTCCGTCTGGTTTTGTATCGTATAGATTTTAATTATAGAAATATGCTTCAAGTAGGAGCACAGATTCCGCCTGATGCAGAGCTCAATGTCAACGGAGAGTGTCACAGCCTTATTGTCACCCTCAATGGCTCGTAGTTCGTATCCTTTAACTTCCTAGTCAAAATACAGTGCTCTGAAGGGAAAGCACTACGAACATGCTACTATATTCCGAGAATACTAAACTTCGCATGTTATGCCCCCACCAGGCACAGTCTCGTTTAAAACCTGGCTCGTAAATCATGTCCTAGATGGATCCCGTGGGGGCGCCACACCCAGGAATAAGTTATTAAAAATATATTATGAATGTATTTCCTTCTTTTTTTTTTTCTTTTTTTAATTTTAATCCAACCTTTATTAAAGCATATTCCGATAATTCTGGTCATAATATTGACTATACAGCTTCAATCTCTGAATTTGCTTGCCCATCCGGCACATATGCGCCAATGTCTGAACGACAACGGATCACACAAACTATCGTGGTAGATCGTGTAGAAATAGCACTATTCACGATTCAAACACAGAACTAACGTCTGTTGCGCCGAACCGAATACGTGTCAGTTATACAAGCTCAATCCCGGGATATATCTGCCCTCACTACAGATCGATACCCAAGCCCTTGATACACGAATTGCTAAAGGAATAGCTACGATATCTACGGAACGAAAAGGCTATCAGCAAAGTCAGACGAACCAGCTATCCCAAAGAAAAGCTTCCTACTCACTAGATATTAGAATAGCCTGAACCCCAGCCTACAGCCATTGTGACTCCGGTATTTTTGTTAGACTGAAGGTCGCACCAACTCTATCCAGGAACCTCCATCTCCAAGACTTCCTTCCGTTATCGAATATCAAGTTTCTGTATGGCCTCGGCAGTGTATATTCTCGATGCAGAGTGCCGGCCGATCATTTCGCGTGCGTACAAGTTCTACCCAGAGGAGGTGTATGTGCCCATGCTCGCGCAGTTCGCGACACACGTTGCACACAAGGCGTGTCCGCCGGTGGTGTGCGTGACGGGCGTGAACTTTGTGTGGGTACGACACGGGGATCTCTACGCTGTGGCGATTTGTCTCGACGCGCGCGCAAACGCGATGGCACTCGTGCAGTTTCTCCAGCAGTGGCTCGACGTACTCACGAGTTACTTGGGCAAGCCGGTCTTGTTCCGTGACGACGTGATTGACAACTACGTGCTTGTGTATGAGTTGTTCGACGAGATTATGGACTTTGGGGTCGTTCAGTTGACGGACTACAAGATTTTGAAGGAGTACATCAAATTGCGCGCGGACAACTTCAGCATCGTGGAGAACCGGAAGCTGCACGAGGACGTAGAAAAGGCCCCGAAGAAGAAGTTTTCGCTATCGCTCAAAAAAGAGAAACCAGTGGAGGTTTCCGAGATAATGGACGATGCCATCAACGCGAGTATCGTGCGAACCACCATCAATGAAATCAATTGGCGGCCAAAGGGCATTTTCTACAAAAAAAACGAAATCTTCGTGGACATTTGTGAACGCATCCATTTTGTCTACGATTTGACCCAATCTACGATTCATACGAACATAATCCGAGGTGCTATCAACGTACAGTGCTACCTTTCGGGGATGCCCCTCTGCAAACTCGGGCTCAACGAGGCGTTGACAGACACGGGGAAGGCGTTTTTCCATAACCTCCGGCTTCATCAGTGTGTCACCGCGCAGTTAGCCAAAGAAGAGGCAGCACCGTCCTCGAACTTTTCGTTCATCCCGCCCGATGGAGAGTTTGAGCTTCTCAGCTACATCCACAAATCGACGGCTTCGACCAAAAAGCCGCTCTTCTTCGTTCGCCCCTTCTTCAAGCACATCACCACGAATGGCACCCACAAGCTCCAGGTGATGCTCACGCTCACGACCCACTTCAAGCAGAAGGTTCAGGGCCGCCGACTCCTGGTGGTGGTACCATTGCACCACTACCGCATCGACTACAATCGGCCGCTCAAGTTCATGACGAACGAGCTCAAAGGCAGCAACAACTCCAAGATCGAGATCGTGCTCGAATCCGAGAGCTTGTGCTGGGAGTTGGAGCTGTACACGGGGAACTCTGAGTACAAGATGATGGCCGAAGTGGAGCTAGCGGAGATGCCAGACGAGGCAACTTTCTTCCACTCGCGGTTTGTCCAGGGAGATGAGCCCGAAAGCGACAGTGATAACGAGGCATCCACGTATATATCCAACGCGAAGCGCCGCGACAGGAACCACATTGTCCAGAAGATCAAGGCTGAGTCACAAGGGAAGACTGCGGCGGACCCGTTTGCCGTCACCATCCACTTCGACCTCCAGTTACTCTCGCAAGGCTATTCCGGTTTGCGAATTGAGTTTTTGACCATCGAAGAGCTGACCCAGAAGAATATCAAGTACACGAGTTTCCCCTGGATCCGCTACCTCATCGAAGACGATGGAGCGGGCGAGCGCGCTCCTGATGCAGTTAACAGAAACGTCCACGGCGAGTACAGGTTCAAGTGGGGGCGCGACAAGGTTGTCTGGGTAGAGGAAAAGAAGGAGTTGAATTCGGAGACAAACAAAGATTCAGATCCAGAGAAAATCAATGGAATCCTGACAGAGCTCAACTGAAGGAAGTCCAGACCCAAGAGAGCTAAGGAAGAGGATGATTGTATTTAGAAGGATCCCGTTATGAATCCATCTCGGAACCCCAAAGCCAACGGCGTTCTGTAGGGGGGTTGAAACTTAATGACCGTCTCGGGAATCGAGCCTCGCCGGATTGACCAATTGTCTACCAGACACCCAATCTGGGGCGATACCTATGATCAATTAGCATTAACAATATGTAACCAAGAAGGTATTCTTACAGACGGCTAATCGTTGAACATTTTCGGAGTCTAGCCATATGAGCGAGAAATACGGTTTGTATATAAGTTGTAACCCTGAGATATGTAGCCACAATATGACAGCTATCCTACTTTGCTTCCACGTAGCTTATAGCTGCCTCAATTTACATGCACGTAACGTAGTTTTGTATTAGTATGGTACATCCAGATGAGCTCTATGACGGATTGGGGGATTATTTGGCAGCATTGATGTGGATTTCCGGAGTAGGCTTAATAACGGCGTCGATCAACAACTTGACCACCTTGCCTCTCTTTTCACCCGCAATCTTTTCGATCTTGGCTAATTCGTCCTTGACCAGCTGCTCTGCCTGTTTGTCGGCCTCCTCGTTCAAGCCAGAATGCTGACTCTCAAACTGCTTCAATTCGCTCTCCTTAGCCACCTTGATTTTGGCAATCTCGGCGGAGGCGTCAGACTTGGCCTGCTTCAACTTGTCGGAGCGGTAGTTTCTCGCCTCGGCGATGATCTTGTGTGCTTCCTTCTCGGCCTGGCGGGTTAGTGACTGGAAAAATACTTGTATTGGGCTAATGACATACGTTTAAGAGTTTTTGGATACCTTGCTGAGACATTGTAGTGGTGATGGTGTAGTAGCTAAGGCTTTTATGACAGTAAGGCTTATCAACGTATTAATCAACTATCAGGGAGCGTCAGCGTTACCCGGAGAAACTGGGCGGTGCACGCAGTCGAGTAGAGGCACGTGATGAAAACGTGCGGTATTCATAAGAGTGCAAGACGATAACGAGTGTGATGAAAGTTGCTCTTCTGGATTTTTCTAATTCTTACATAATCTCATTTAAAACTGTTTGTTTAAGGGG